GAAATCCAGAGGTGATCGGGCTTTTGCGGTTGCTGCTCCAAAACTGTGGAACAGTTTACCTGAGAATTTAAAGAGTGCTCAGACTGTTGAGACTTAAAACTTTGCTGAAGACTCATCTGTATTCTTTGGCATTTGATCCACGCAGAGTCTGAGAACAAATTTAGAGCTGATTTTTATTGTTATTGTGTATTTACTGTTAGCTTTCTGATGTTTTTGAGTGGCACTAGATGCATTTTTTAAAATCTGTTTTAACTGTGAAGCACTTTGGTCAGCTTTTGTTGTTTTTATGTGCTATATAAATAAAATGACGTTGACATAATCTGTCACACAACCTGTGTAGTTTGTTATGTGCAATAGACTGTATATCATTTAAACTCATATTATTACATTCTTTTTCATACAAACTCATCCTACTTGCACCGTTATGTTCTACCTTGTTGTTGTTTACTATTTCTCTGTAGGACCGTGTAAATATATTTAGCTTTTTCACTTTTTGCTACTTTATTTTGTACCCTTATTGATTGCTTTAGTATTTATTTGTTTGTTTGTTGTTTTTAGCGAGTCAAATCGGTTCTTCTCATCCACAACATTTTATTGTACTGTTAACCTGCATAAATAAACACAACTTGAAGTTGAAGAACTATCTGAGTCTCCGGTATCAGAACCTGCTTTATGCTCGTCAGTCAGTTTTATTTTCTGCAGCTCCTTCGAGGAAGACATGACTTTTTGTTTAGACAGATTTAGTGGAGTTTGATAGTTTTGACTTCTTTACAGTTTCCCAGCAGTGCGGCACAGTGGCTCAGTTGGTAGAGCTGTTGTCTGTCAGCAAGCAGGTCGCTGGATCAAATCCCAGTCTGAGGGCCTTTCTGGGTGGAGTTTGCATGTTCTCTCCGTGCATGTGTGGGTTTTCTCCGGGTACTCCAGTTTCCTCCCACAGACCAAAAACATGCATGTTAGACTGATTGGTAACTCAATTGTCTCTAGGTGTGAGTGAGAGAGTGGATGGTTGTTTGTCTCATTTGTCTCTATGTGTCCCTGTGATGGACTGGTGACCTGTCCAGGTTGTCCCCCGCCTCTCGTACTGATTGCTGGACATGGGTACTGGCGACCCCCGTGACCCAAAATGAAAGGAGCAGGTAAAATATAATGAATGGATGGAAATTTATAAACCAAAACGTATCCACAACTGTGTCCAGGTCAGAACTTCTTCTGAAATAATCATAGAAGAGCTCTTTCTGTAAATGCTAAAAATGATGGAAAGGAAACCATTACTAGTTAGTCCAGTAAAGTTAAGTCACATCATCTGGACGGTTTCAGCTGGATGTTTTGAACCACTTTGGCCATGGCTGCCTCAAATGAGACAGCGGGGGAGAGGGTGGACTCCAGAAACCATCATAGCACCATCAAACTGGTTGACCCACTATGTGAGGGTGCAAAAGACTGGTTTTGTGGTGGCTCCTTGGACTGATGAAGTCTTTTGGATGAACTATGAAACATTTAAAAGAAAAAAAAAAAACTCTCCAGAGGACCTGACTTAACTTTATTGGATTTTTTTACCTGGATTATTGAGCATGAATCAGTTACTAGCTGCTTAATTGTTTTGTTTTGTAAAAGTAGAAACAATATGGGGACATTTTGCTTACCTGCAGCAGGTCGGCCACAGCCAGGTTCATCATGAACACGACGGCCTTCTTGGTCTCTTTGATGTAGATCCTGAACACCCAGAGAGCCAGCACATTACCCAGCAGGCCTGGTGCTAAGATCACGCTGTAGACTACAGCATACACCTGGTGCTGGTAATTCTTCAGACTGCTGGTATTACCACAGCTTGAGAGGTTCATCTTAAAGATGAGGAATCAAACTCATGAGGCTGGCTGCCTTGCTGGACAGTTTCAGGGCAGCTGCTTGTTCCCCGCCGACAGTTTAATCTGAGCCTCCATTATGGTGAGAGAGAGAGAGAGTTCACGCTGGTGGCAGCACCACCGACAACAACGATGTTTATTGGTGGACTCCCACACCGATAAACTTCTTCAAGCCTTCAGGTCGGAACAAGATATCTGGTAGTAGAAAGAAGAAAGAGTAGATTAAAAGACATTTTCTAAGGGAGTTATTTGGAGATTTAATGCGGAAAAAACAACAACAATTGAAACAAAACCCTATGATAATCATATTACATGGTTAAATAGCAAAAATATAAAGTATGAAAAAAAGAAACATGCAAGGATCTAAGAAATATGCTAAACAATGATAAAGTAATATAACACGGTGAATCAAACAGCAGTCTGAACATTCATAGTGACTTTGTCGCTCAGTGGATGCAGAGAGCCGATCAGAACTGGGCCAGAACCAGACCAAGCCTGGGTAGGTCTACTGAACTGGGACCAAGCTGCTGTGTTCTGCAGAGCTGGTGAGTAAAAAGACATTACTACTCACTCGGCTTAAATTAAAGTTCAGAGAATAAACATCCCACAGACTAAAAACATGCATGTTAGGCTGATTGGTAACTCTAAATTGTCTCTTGGTGTGAGTGAGAGAGTGAATGGTTGTTTGTCTCTGTGTCCCTGTGATGGACTGGAGACCTGTCCAGGGTGTACCCCTGCCTCTCAAACAGTGATGGATGGACATGGGCACCAGTGACCCGGTGACCTGAACAGGACAAAGCAGGTAAAGATAATGGATGGATGGATGAAGTTATCTTGTTTAATAATCTAGTGCTTTAGTTTAGTTTATTTAAATTTAGTAGTTGACTGAACTGTTTTGGTTGTTTCAACTCATAAATTGGTACCACTTTACAATAAGGTTCCTCTTATAAATGGTTAATAAATAGTTTATAGATACGTTAATTCTTCTATAAGCACTTTATAAACCATTAATAATTGATTATTATGCATTAATAAAGGGTGACAGTGACAAAACCGACCAGTTTGTTGCCAAATAGTGAGTCAAATCTGTTCATATTTCATCTAGAATTGTTACATTAAACATTTCAGACTAAGTTACTATCTTTTAAGCACAATAAGCATTTGTAAACTTGTTTATTTAGGATATAATATTGCACTTTATCACTGCATTATAAGTATCTACAACTATATATAATGCAGTGATAAAGTACAATATTATATGTGTTAGTCATAAAATTTGAATATCATGAAAAAGTTTATTTATTTTAGTAATTCCATTCAAAAAGTGAAACTTGCACCTGAATTCATTGTCACTGTTTAATGTAACATTAAAGCACAGTACCGGGTTACTACTGTTGGGTGGGGATTTAACTGACAGAAGCAGAAGCGTTAAAGTTAGACCAACCGATTGAGGAGTACGAGATCAAGCAGGTAATTAAGTCGCTCAAGAACAATAAAAGCCCAGGTCCAGATGGGTATGCCAACAAATTTTATAAAACATTTAAGGACCTTTTGGCTCCCCTGCTATTAAAAGCATATCATTACGCTCTAGAATCCAAAACCATGGCACCGTCCTGGACAGAGGCCACCATAGTAGTAATCCATAAAGAGGGCAAGGACCCCACTGACTGTCAGTCATACAGACCTATATCACTGCTAAACACAGATCTATGCATACTCACAGCAATCCTAGCAAGACGGCTTAACAAAATTATCACCCAAATCGTACACCCCGATCAGACGGGATTCATCGCAGGGAGATATTATGGTGATAATCTAAAACGCTTACTAAACATAATAACTTTCCAAAAAGAAAGAAAGATTGAGTCAACAATCATATCCTTAGATGCCCAAAAGGCATTTTACAGAGTATCCTGAAAATATCTAATTCAAACACTGAATTGGTTTGGATTTGGCCCACGCTTTGTTGACTGGATACAAACACTCTATTCATCCCCACAGGCAGCTGTCAAAGTCAACAGATATAGGTCTGATAGATTTCCATTAAAACGGGGATGCAGACAGGGATACTCACTGTCACCCCTTCTGTTTGCCATTAGTACTGAACCACTAGCCCAACTTATTAGAGATGATGCTAATATCAAAGGTACAGTGATAAACGGGGAAGAACATAAAATTTCATTATATACTGACGATATATTATTGTACCTAACAGAACCCACATCAACAATCCCACACTTAAAAGAACTCATCTCACAATATGGATTTTACTCAGGCTACAAGGTAAATATAGATAAAACAGAAGCTATGGATGTAAGCTGCACAGTCTCAGACACCCCAAAATTACAGAGCGGATTTAAGTGGTCCAAGGATGGCATTAGATATCTTGGTATCCATATACCCCCATCTCTACAGAACCTCTATGAAGCAAATTATAGCAAACTACACAGAGTCATTAAAAATTATCTAGAGCAATGGGCTACACTCCCCATCTCTCTGAAAGGCTGTGTTGAAAGTATTCTTATGAATGTCCTGCCAAGATTACTTTATTTATTCCAGATGCTACCAGTGGAGATTCCCAAACTCACTTTTGATAACTTAGACAAAATAATCTCTGAATACATTTGGCAAAAAAAGCGCCCTAGAATCATACTAAAAACCCTACAGTTATCTAAATCAAAAGGGGGCCTTAAACTCCCAAACTTGAAATATTATTATTGGGCTGCACAGTTTAAACCCTTACTGGTATGGACACAGAATGGTAAAGACGCTCGATGGCTCGGGATAGAAGGAAGCATATGCTCAGAGCCTTTGCAAACATTACCCTTCTTAGATGCCCCTGCAAAAGAAATGGCAGTCTGGACAAAGAACACACTTGAAATTTGGAACAAAATACAATCAGCTTTTCAGGTATCAAAACATATCTCACTTTTAACAAATATAGGATCTATGAGGACTTTTATACCAAATAAGTTAGACACTGGCTTTAGAAACTGGTCTAATTATGGATTATCTTACATACACCAATTAATTGAAGAGGGACATTTTAAAACCTTCGAGCAGATGAAAAGTGAATTTGCTCTCCCAAAGACGGACTTTTATAGATATTTACAACTTAGAACCTTTGTGATGTAACATAAGAACTGGACTAAATTTCATGAGCCTACACATCTAGAAAGTTTCTTAATGGACATACAAAGGGGAAAGGGAAACTATAACGTAATTAGTAAACTATATGATTTATTTCTCTCTATGAATACACATGACTATAAACATAAAGCAGAAATGGGAGACAGAAATGAAGGAGGTAATAACAGAGGACACATGGAAGGAAATATGCACTGGAGCACAATTAGCCACAAATTCTAATACATGGAGAGAATTTATAACCCGATTCTTCAGAACGCCAGCAATAACCAGTAAAATGGGTCCAGAACATCCCAGCTCATGCTGGAGAAATTGTGGAACATAGAATGCCAACCACACTCATATCTTCTGGCTGTGTCCTAAACTAAATGTATTCTGGAAGGAAATATTCGACGCCCTTAAGGTAATTTTTGGGAGAGAGGTTCCAAAAAATCCTCTAGTGGCAGTTTTAGGAGAAATACCCAAAGGAATGGACAGAAAGGCCGACAGATATTTGCTGAATATATTGCTTAGAGCAGCATTGCAATGTATAACCATTAGATGGCTAAAACCAGAGCTTCCCACATATAATATATGGATCCAAAAAGTCTGGGACATTTACCTGATGGAGCAGATTATATATTCTTTAAGGTTTCAGAAACCCATTTTTAATATGCGGTGGAACCCAGTTATGCCTTTATTAACACAGTGATGTGCTTAAAGTTTTTATTTATTTATTTTATTTTTTCAGTCACTACACTCGCATGCTAGTAAAAAATACCACTGTGAACAGGATTGTATGGACTCGTAACCTCAGAGGGGATCTTATTGATTTAGATGGGTGTGTGTGTGTATGTGTATGGGGGGGTTGTTTTCATTTCTTTTTCTCTCTCGCTCATTTTTTCCCCTTCTTTTTCCTTTCTTTATTTTCTGTTTCTTCTTTCTTGCTTTTTTGTTTTTATTATTGTACCAACTATTTGTGGTATCACTATTGCTACCTCAATCTCTCGTCAACTTATAATGTGAATGTACATAGCCGTAAGTGAGAGAATGTAAAAATATGAAAAGTGTTACCACTGTTGTTCTTGTGTAAAAAAAAAAAAAAGAAATAAAAACTAAGTTAAAAAAAAAGGTGAAACTTCTATTTTATATTCATTCATTACACCCAGACTGATATATTTCAAATGTTTATTTCTTTTAATGTTGATGATTATAACTGACAACTAATGAAAACCCAAAATTCGGTATCTCAGAAACTAACAATATTACTTAAGACCAATCAAAAAAGGATTTTTAGAAATATTGGCAACTGAAAAGTATGAACATGAATTTTTTTTAAATAAATAAAAAAATTAATAAAGATTATATATATACAGTATATATATACAGTATATATATATATATATATATATTATACAGTATACAAAGTATATGTATCAGGGGAATGTGGGTGTGGGAAGCATCTGTTTTTCACAAGACACAACCTCGGCATGAAGGCGGGAGAAAAAAAGTCTGACAAGTTTGTGTACACTCAAAAAAATACAAATCCCAGTAAATTAAATAATAGCAACAAATATCTTATTTTTTCATAGAGAATGTAACACAGTTTGTAGAGTTGTGTGGTTAGTGATTATGGAAATTATTGTCAGCTCAACTCATATTTTTGCTCCAGAGCCGCCACCGATTCTTCCACCATGCTGTAAAACCCACAGCACTCAGTGATGAATGATAGGTACGTTCACAGCTTCTAGTTTCAGTACTTTTTACTGTAAATACTTGCTCCTACCCACTGATGTTGCATTCGCTACACAATCTGTACTGCATCTCTACTGCACGGCAACCCACAATTTATC